AAAAAAAATGCCGCCCTTCTCGTCGCGCCCCTTGGTCTCGCATTCCAAAGACTCGCGTTTATTGCACGAAATTCTGGATTTGTTACGAAGTAAAAAATATAATTTGAGGGGGAGAGAGAGAGAGAGAGAGAGGGAAGCGAGGGAGAGGGGAGAGAGAGAAAAAGCGAGGGAGAAAGAATAGAGTGAGAAGAGCACGCGAGTGTGCGTGTATGTGTGTGTGTGTATGAGAGAGAGAGAGAGAGAGAGAGAGAGAGAGAGAGAGAGAGAGAGAGAGAGAGAGAGAGAAAGAGGAGATAGGAGTGCAAGAGGGAAAGAGACGACGTTACCTTCCCTCATTATTCGAAAATTTCAGTATACGGCACGTACGCGCCCGACCGTGTTAAATTTCATCGGCGCATCCGCCCGGGGTGCACGAGCGGGATCGGGTGAATAAAACACAGGGATGAAAAATAAAGCGAAGGCGAGTGACCCACATGAGTGTCGCGCGCGCGTACGTGTTAAACGCGGCGCGCCGGCACTCACGCGAAAGGGAACGACTTATTCGCTGAAAAGCCTCGCCTAACAGCAACAGCAGCAGCAGCAGCAGCAGCAGCAGCAGCCGGCAGGCAGCGTGTGCAGCCCGTCGGATAAATCCTTCTTCTTTTTTTCCCCCTCTCTTTCTTCCGTTTTTTACTCCTCCGCGCCTCCTGTCTACTGCCATTCGCGCCGTACACCGTGCCCCTCACTATCGTCGTCGCGCAATCCTGCCCGTGTTAAGAAAGGGCCGAGAGAAAATAGGTCCCGCACCCCTCCGGAGTGTCATTCAGTACCGTAATTTATTCCAGTTTCATGGATCCCCTTTTGCACGCGAGAGCCCCTCGTCGCCCCGTCCCGCCCGGCCGCTCCACTTGTCCCGACGCCTTTCACTTGTGCCGTTCTTTATTAGGGACTGCTCTACGCCCGTTAATCCGACAGTTTCCTACTCTTTCTCCCGCCATTTCCGCCTCCCTTCTCACGTCCGACTCCCCTACTGTCCCCTTTGCCCATCATTGCGAACGCACCCTCTCTCTTACTCCCTCTCGCACGTGCATTTTAATTTATCTTGTCAACGTTCCATTTTACAACCATTACAGATTTCTTTGCCGCGCCGCGAATACTTGTTGCGCAGCGGTACGATTGATATTATGAATTCCGCGTTATGCTCGACGACGCACTAAAAGGATTCTCCAAACGGAGAATCCTTCAGCGTGCAATTGTCTCTTCCGTCGGCGGGGCGCTCGTCGCCGCGGGGAGAGATCGCCGTCGCGGCGTCGCGTCGGTGCGGGAGGATGAAAAGTGAAGGAAAGGAAAGCGAAAGAGACAAAAGAGCCAGAGGAGGAAAAAAATGAAAGAACGACAGGAGGGAAAATAGAATCTCTCCTCTGCAGCCACTTAGAGCGCGCACGGCCTGCCTGCCTGCCTGCGAAGCTAAACCGATTCCGACTGCGGTGGCGGCAGCCGATACGGTATAGGCGTGCGCGCGCGATAACTCTCGGCTTCGCAATATCGAACGGCGAGCTGTACGTGCCACCCGGGGAGAATAATATTGAAATCACGGGGTTGTGCACGTCGCCGTCATCGCCGTCGGGGTCGACGTGGTCGACGCTGCCGCCGCCGCAAGTAGGCCAGCTCGAAATAGAAACCGTCAACTGGGGCAGTCAATGCCCAACGTGTAAGACACATTCGTCGCGACACGTTCGCGACTTTTCCGCGGCGACGACACGCGTGTATCTCTCCCCTCGTATCCGTTCCACCCTCCCACCCCTGCGCGGTCTTTCCTCTCCCCCCCCCCCTCTCTCTCTCCCTCGCTCTCTCTCTCTCTTCTTTTGCCGCCAAGGGAGGCAGAGGGTTGATGTGGAAGGACCGTTGTCGTTTGCCAAGCACGGAATATCGCTGCCATCGCATTGCCCACGTGCCAAACACAGTGATCTCCGCCCTCGAAACGATTTTCCGTCGCAACGGGCGAACCCTCTCGCCCCTCTCTCTCTTTCTCACACTCTCTCGTCGTTGACTCGCAGGATTTATACGGCACGGGACACGGGACTTTCAATTCCATCGACCGATCGATGTCGCATACCACCACGGCGCTTTTACTACGTGCTCCGCGAGCCGCGTGTTCTACGTCCCGTCATTATCGTAGAATTCTCTCGCCAAACGGATATAATACAATGACGAAGACGAGGACGCGATGATCTAATCAATTCGCGCTGCGCTTTGCCGGAACTCCGGCTAGAGATCAATATCGTCCGGTCGTTCTGTCTTTGTTGTCTCTCTCTCTCTCTCTCTCTCTCTCTCTCTCTCTCTCTCTCTCTCTCTCTCTCTCTCTATCCCGCTCTCCGTCTCTCTTTCCGTCGGGAGGGGTGGAGTATTAGCTTTGAACGAGTATGTGATGTGCAGTTAACGCATCTCGAATCATTCGATAATGAACATCGTTGATGCGCCGCATTCTTGTTGTTAAACAACGCACGAAGAGCGTAATGGAAATGGAATGCGAAATGAAGTTGGCGCGGTGCGAACGGGGAACTCCCGCGATTGAAGAACTAATTATATTCGTGCCGCTGCCCTTTCGAGTTTTCATACCCCCGTGGGCCGTGCGCGCATATAGACGGCTTTATCACCCGGATCTTCCGCGCGTCGTTGTAGGGGTTAAATGTCTTGAAGCGAATGCATTAATACGGGCGATAACGCAGCGGATTTTAATGCAGGCGTTTACACGGGCCGTTTTAGCTCGGCGGGGCTCGCGCGGAATATACGTGCTTACCGGCAGTTTAGCATCCGGCTTAACAGGACGTAATTTTCCGCAATGGCGGCGTAATGAGGCGCGTATAAAACGACAACAGCAACCTCGCACGCTCGCGCGCTGCACCGTCCGTACGTACGTTTTCCTTATGGCGCGGCTAAAAATAAATGATACAACTCTCGGTCCCCTCGTAACCTAAATTTTCATCGGAGGCTGGCTCCCCAGCCGAGGCGGTGCCCCGCGCGCAAAATTCTAAAATTGCGCGGGGCCATGCACAGCCAGTCTCTTTGAAAAGAGACGCGCATTAACGACGCTAAGATCCCCCCCGCTGGCGTGAAAGTACGATCGCTGCGGGCGATGGTACTTTTGTGCGACACCTCTAACGATTTCTCTCCCGATTGTTTTGCATGCTGGCCTGGCGAGGTGTTCGCGAGCACCAACTATCGTGCTCTGTAGTTGCATGCACGTCGACTTCTTCATGCGCTCGTAATGTGTAGGTAGCAACGCTTTTGCACCCTTCTTCTCTCTGTCCCTTCGAAGTGCCGACGAGCTTCTCAATTAACGCGCGCGTCCAACCAGTCACAGCGACAATTCGCAGCGCACATGTGACATGCATACGCGATACGTTAACACTTCCAATGAATATTTCAGAGACTGATATTCTCCTTATCTATCTCTATCTCTCGTTCTCTCTCTCTCTCTCTCTCTCTCTCTCTCTCTCTCTCTGTCTGTCTGTCTCTCTTCTTCTCGCTCGCTCTCTTTCTCTCCCTCTGAAAGCGCACAATACATACATATCTTAATTATCGTCATTCACACTCCCTAATCTCTTCTGAAAGTTAGAAGCACAGATTGCACTACTTGCCCTATCTCTCTTATCGCACACCGAGAGTGCGCTCACTCGCGGAGCAATCTACCGAACAATTGTTCTCGCACACTTCCGCACCTTCTCTCTTCCTCCGGATATTCGTCGGAAGCACCTGCAGACTCGCGTGCCGCGTCACGTCGCATTAATACACCCTCACGAGATCCCGTGCATCTTTCCGCGGTTAAGCTTCGACACTTCGAGCCGCCTTACCGTTGTTTTTCCACAAGACTCCCCGTTTCCGCGCTTCCGGCATACAGACCCACACCTCCCAATATTCTCTCATTATTCCATTGCCGATCGCGCGCAGTATAATGTACGCGGCATGCATCGGACGTACGTAGCATACATATGCTCTTCCACCTGTACGACGTCGTCCACACGTACGACCACGTTGATATATACACACATGTATATATATATATATATATATTGATATATATAATATATATGAAAAAGAAAGGAAGGAAAAGATATATACACACACACATATATATATATATATATGTATGTATATATCTTTTCCTTCTTTTTTTTCAACGCACGAGAGAGCGTACTTTTTGTTCTTCGCAGCGCGACGCAACGGGCGCGAAAATTCAAGAACGCCCGCGGTGCCTCGCGGGGTACCGCGGGCGTTCTCTCGTGGCCCATGTGGAGACGTCGCGGTCGAATCTTCGTCTCGTCACGCCTTGCCTTCCTCGCGCGAAAACAAACGACCTACGGGCGTACGTACGCGCAGGATAACGCCCGTAGATCGTTCTGTTCCTCAGACACGCTGCATCCCTTGTCTCATCATTTATCATCTCATGATTCACGGCCGGTGCGAGTGGCTAACGAGATTTGATCGCGCGTACAAGGGGGCCTGGTGAATAATGAAGCGCGTCCCCTCGACATGGCCCGCTAAGCGGTATTAAAACTTCATTTCGTTCATCTTGCAAAAATAACGAAGTCGTCGGGGAAAGCTCTTCCGACGCGCGCAGAAGGAGACGTATAATAATTTTATATTGTAATCTTAATAATACGTATCTCTGTTCGCGCGGTGTATGTCTCTTGTCCTTCTGACCGAATACATCCCGCTTGTCGTATCGTACATCTTGGGGGAAAAAAAAGAAGAAAAAAAAAAAAAAGAGAGAAGAAAAAACAAAAAGCAAAAAAACAGCGCGATCTGGTAAAACGGAAACCTAATAAACTTTCCGGTTCTGCGCTTTTCTTCCTCTTTCCTCTCTAACGACGAAAAAAAATTGCCGTGATAAAATTCTCTCGTATTTCACCGGGAAATCCGCGCGCACGGATAAAGTGCGGGACGAACGTACGCTCGCACCGGTGTATACGTGTTCATTGCGATCTCTCGTTTATGTTGCGTGTTGGTGTTGGTGCAAGGGGCAGGAGATACCGATATACATATGGTACGAGTCGTATCCGACCCACAGTGGCGAAGGATACGAAGGTCGCGTCTCGAGGGTGAGCCCGAGTTCACCGTACGGCGGGGCCAGCCTCAATCTGACGAACATCCGCGAGAGCGATCAAGGATGGTACAAGTGCAAGGTCGTCTTCCTCAACAGGTCGCCCAACAGTCACAAGAACGGTACCTGGTTTCACCTAGACGTCCACGGTAAGTAGCCTCACACAAACTTCACCGTGTCTCCGGCCGAAGCGGCAGCAAAATGCGACTTGCGACCTCCAGACGCGACTTTAAGGCTTCGAATTAATAAAGCGGATTATTGCAACTTGTTTTATCAGACGCTGCGCGTGCGGCTTCGTGACCGACAAATGGCGGAACGAGGAAAAAGTGACCCTCGAGATACGAGGAGCCTCGGCCGCGCGAAGCGAAGAATGCTAATATTAATTACACGCGTAAAAATTGGCCTCTTACAAGCGGCAAAAGTTAAAGGAACTTAATCGAAGCTTGCGCGCAGCTTGCACGGGCTGAGCCCACGTTATTTCTGCTTCGGATAGCCTCATTAATATCACTTGGAGCTTAAGGAGATTTTACGACTTCGACTAATGTAGTTTTATGACACTTGCGGGAAGTTAACCGCGTGAGAGTTAAGGTCGTATTTGAACAGCCCCGTGCAGTTTCTAGAAATTTGCAAATTTTCACAAATTTATCGGGAGAACTGCGTGCGTGTACGCGCGCCCGCGTACAATCTAATTTCGGAGGAACAGTAATCGCTCGTGTATCATCGTGCTTTTTTACGGAAATCGACGATGCAGATTTGCATCTACGCGCATCGAACACGTAACAGTAAACAATAGACACAAAACCCTATAGGCGCGACACAATTAATCAACAATGAGAAACGTGCTCGGTGGGCTCGGTGGGCGAGCACACGCGTGGAGTCGTCTGTGGACTCATGAAATTCCGGAACGTCCTTCTTTCGCGCTTGGTTAAACATCGGCGAGCAGTCAGCACGCGAAAATATTCCCCTTTCCGCCGTCGCGTTCCTTTTCAACCGGGCCGCGCCGTCGACGCTTTTCGTCGACGTGACTTCCTATCAGGAAAAGGAAAGCACGCGAATCATAAAGGACGCTTCAAAAGTACGTCGCCGATTCTTCGACGCGAATTGTACATTCAGCAAACCACGCCCCCGCGCGCGCGCCATGCTTTAGCTCCAAGTTCGCGCGGGAAGAAGTTATGTTTCTTGCTTGCTCAGCGAGCGCGGTTCGAACGTCTTCTTCTTCTTCTTCTTCTTCTTCTTCTTCGTCTTCTTCTACTTCTTCAAAAGAGGGAAAGAGAGAGAGAGGGAGGGAGTTCGTTGTGCCCTTCGCCGTCACCTCGACGAAATCTTCCGAGAAAATTCGTCCCTGCTTACGGCGAGTAAAGTGGAAAGGAGAATCGCAAAAAGATCGTGTTACCGGACGGGAAATGGGATAGAGCGGCGAAAAAAAGGGGCGAAGAAGGCGATGGAAGAAAGAGGGAAACTTATTGCCGCATTTTGCTCGGCTATAAACGACGGCGAAGGGCCGGAGGGAAGAGAAATATTTAGATAGCTCAGGGAGGATGTTCCGTTGTGCTCTTTTTCCCTCGTCACACCTCATCCACCCCATCTCCCTGTCCTCCTACCCTTAACGCCACCAACCCGCTCCGCTCGCTCCCAATTTTTCCGTCGTTTTCCGAGCCCTCGGTCACACTCAACAACGACGACGACGACGACGATGACGACGACGACGATGATGATGACGACGACGACGACAACGACGACGATAGACCCGCAAACGACGTGAAAGGTAAAAATACTTGGAACTCCAGAAAGCGTTTAAGACCCCTTTATACTTTGTAGTCGGCTCCATTCGGTCGCTTGCTCGCGTTAGAGACAAACCGTCGCGCGTCTCCCCTCTTCATGTCGTGCTCTTGTCGCAATTTTCTTTTTTTTTTTTTTTTTTTTTTTTTTCGTCAACTGCCTGTTCTTCTTCTTCTTCTTCTTCTGCTTTTTCCTTTTCGACTTGCATTTTCGTTTTGCTTCTTTCGGCTGAAGCGTCATTCTCGAAATTAGAATTCCTCACCCTCGAATAGCAGCGATCGTGAGCGGACGCGGACGTCACGCGACGAGCAATATCTCAGCGAACAAGCGACGAAACAAAAGCGATCTCCTGAATACCGGAAATTTGCGCCAGTGAGACAAACCCTCCCCCTCTCGCTTCCTTTCTCGTTCTCTTTTTCTTTAGCTGTTCCAGTGAGAAACTCTCGCGGAAATATTTAATTGAGCTCTTCTCGCTTTTTCCGCAATACCCGGATTTCTCAAGCCCGGGCGTTCTCGCGCGTGCACGTCGATTAAAATTTCTTCAACGGAATAATTCCGTCCTCTCACACGGAGGAAAAACGCACGGCTCCGAGGGAAAATCCGTCAGGGGACCATTTTCTTAACCTACCCCGACGTAGAATTTGCATTATTTCAATCGCTCGTTTCTCCGCTCCCCTTCGCTCCACCATTCGTTCGTGGTCGCGCGGAATCGTCGACTCCTTCCGATACGGTGCACTATGTGCCGCCCTAGAGCAAGAGAACAAACGGACAGACAGCTCTTTACGTCATCCGTTCGGTCACGATGGGCGGCGAAGAACCATTGTGATTTCTCCGGGATGGAAAGACGGAGTGAGAGCGACCGCTCGGGCTGAGGGGCGATAAAAACACGACGGAAGTTCTCGGGAACGTTTTCTAAACGTCTACGCTTGCCTCGCGGGAACTTGATTGTTCCCTCCCCTAACGTCGTTTCCTCGTGACCATTTTCTGTCGCCGATGTCGCCAGGCGCATCTCCATCTCCATCTTCAGCCGCGAGGAAAGAGAAATTTCAACCCCGGCCCGTGCAGCTCTCTCCTTCTCTTTTTCTTTCTCTCTCTCTCTCTCTCTCTCTCTCTCTCTCTCTCTCTCTCTCTCTCTCTCTCTCACTCTCTCTTACTCTTTCGCTCTCCATCGCCGAGGAGGAACGACGTCACCGGATCGAAAAAATAACACGAGACGAAGGGTGCGAAAGGGATAATCCCGTTCGCAAATACGAGTCGCGCACGCTCGATTAATTCGAGCGTAGAGACACGGACCGATTGGTCTTTCGTCACACATGCACACAAAACTCACGTATGCATAATACACATACACACACACACACACACATACACACAGAGAGAGAGAGAGAGAGAGAGAGAGAGAGAGAGAGAGAGAGAGAGAGAGAGAGAGAGAGAGAGAGAGAGAGAGAGAGAGAGAGTTCTCCAGAGTAGAGTTAAGATCGCGAGTACAACAACACGGGGCACGGTACAGTCGCGTCGCGGATCGCATCTAATCGTCAACAATCGCACCCATTGTTCGCAGCGCCACCCAGATTCAGCATAACGCCGGATGATATGATATACGTGAATCTGGGCGATGCGATAATACTGAACTGCCAGGCTGAGGGCACTCCGTCGCCAGAGATCCTTTGGTACAAGGACGCGAATCCGGTCGAGCCGTCGTCGACCATCGGCATATTCAACGACGGCACCGAGCTCAGGATTTCGACGATCAGGAACGAGGACATCGGCGATTACACCTGCATCGCCAGGAACGGAGAGGGCCAGATCAGTCACACCGCACGCGTCATCATCGCGGGTGAGCGCAGCGCAGCTTTCATTAGAATGTCACGGGAATCCCGTCGCAGTAATTTCATCGGAAGTTGAGCAATAAATTATCCACCGGGGCCGATCGGCCGTTCGCGGCGCGGAAGGGACACGGCCCTGCGTTCGATAGCGGCCGGCTGCTGTGCGCGATCGCGGAACGTGAGAGAGATATGAAACTTTTTTAATATAAATTTCAACGTCATATCCGGAAACATTGACGAGCCCCGGCGAAGCTCCGAGATAGGCAGAGAGAAAGAGAGACACGGAAAGGCTGGATTCTCCCTCTCGACGAGAACGTCCGGGGCTTGTAAGACTCGCGCGAGCTCTTTGAGCCGCTCGAAACTTATCGCGACGTAACAGATGAGTTCGCGCGATATCGACGTCCATGCATTTTCATGACTTCTCCATGATTTTCATTTAATTCCCCTGACGGATAATCCCCACGCCTGCGTAATTGCGGACGATATTCGACGTCACGTGTGCGCGAGTAAAAAGCAAAAAATCGCATACGGCTACGATCCTAATTGCGATACGGGGGGCAGCAGCGTACTCATGACGCAGCGTGTACTCTATACTATCGCTGAGTTCGTTCCCGAGAAGAGAAGAGAAAGAAAGGGAGGGGAAAGAGGGGACCATCTCTCAAAATTTCCAACGTGATTTCGTTAATGCGAGAAGCTCGAATGGCGTACGCTCCGCGGCAGCTCTCCCGCCGCAGCAAATAATATAACTCCCTTTTCCGTCGGCCTTGGTTAATATCCCGCCCGAGAGAGGGGAGGAGGGGAGGGGAAAGGAGGGGCACGTTTGCGTGCGCTGTTAAGTATTACTGTCTGACAGGAACGCATTACCGACGCTGCGATGCGACCGCCTAATCCACTTTCGTCCGCGGCGGTGACGCGCGGCTGCGACAAAAACCGTCGTAACACGGCTTTCGTTTTAGAGCGCGTTAAACGGACGGAATGACGCGCCGCGTATCCGACAATACGGATAATTAAGGCGCAGTCCATTTTAGCGGCGTTCAGCCCTCTTCCGGGGCCGCTTCCGGGTGGATATATCGGGCGATCTGTTCCGACAAGTGTCTTGATCGATCGACGGCTGTTTGCTCTATACGCCGTTCGAATGTACCAGCTCGGCGAGAGAAGAAAGGAAGGAGAGAGGGGTGGAGAGGCAAGGGAGAAGGAAACGCGTCGACGGATGTACGCCAGCAGATACTCTCGTATTGTTCTTGCAATTAAATGGCTATTTCGCATAGTTGAGTCGGATAGAAAGTTAAAATATAATTAAAGAATATTTCATAAAAGTTCCGTCTTTAGCCGACGAGCGGGGAACGGAGCAAAAGTCGAGAGAGCGCCGGTATAACGCGAGTAAACTAATTAAAGAAGAAAATACTTTGTACTGCCGCCTTCCGACCCCGTCCATTTCCTCTCCCGCAGGTCCTCTCCGCGAAGCTAATAAGAAGACGCGTCTTTGTAGACCTCTTTCGCCGAACATAAACGTAAAGTCGGCTGATTAGTTTCCCGACAACGAGTAGAGAACGAAAGAGCGAGACAGAGAGGGAGAGAAAGAGGAAGAGAGAGAGAGAGAGAGAGAGAGAGAGAGAGACTCCGCGCGCGCACCTTTTTTCGAAACTAATTTGATATGAGAGTCGCGCGCGCGATAGCGGGCACGCTTTAATACATTTCCGAAAATTGCCTCGGCATGCCCGCGCGATTAATTATCCGCGATCGGCACCCAGAAGAGAATAACGCAAAATACGGCTGCCTGCCAGGCCGATAATTAATAAACAGCAAACTGCCGCGGTAATTATCGAACGTTCGTCGTTATCAGAAACAGATATCCCTTGGTAATCAGCGATCAGCCGCGAACACACCGGTAATGCAATTCCAATAACCTGGACGCCAGAAAATATCTTAAAGCGGGCGCGGTTAACTCGGCCGGTTTTGTTGTTTATCGATCCGCGAGTAAGCCGACTTCCCCTCTTCTCTCCCCCACTGCTCTCTCTCTCTCTCTCTCCCCCCTTCCGTGTTTTACTTTCTTTCCGATTTTGCTCGCTGCGCAATCGGAAGCGAATTCTCACGGCCAGGTAAGCCCGGTCGGCCGCGCCTTTGCGATACGTTCGATAAATTGGACGAAGGAGTCCAAAATGGAATAACAAACGGTCCTTTTACGGGGGATTTCGCAAAAGTTCCCGGCGAGTCCGCGAGTTCTCGGAGAAAGGGAGAGGGGTCTGAGAAATATCATCGTCGCCATGCTGCTTGAGAGAGTTTAATGTCGCTCCTAATATCCAAGCGAAGTCGAAGCGATCGTAAAGCTGACCGAGACAGCGCCGCGTTTCGTGACTCACCTCGCTCGCGCGACCGTTTCGACGAGAGCGCGGAGAGAGAGAGCTGAGGTCTCTCCCCGCGCTCTTGATAAGCTAATGCGTGCTGAGCGTGATGGAATAATTAAAGGTTTACGCGTGCGTCTTATTATCTCTAGCTTAATTAACTCGGACCCCCGTCCGCTGCCTTTCTCGCGCCTCGGCGAGTGTCTAGCGGCGAGCGCGCACACGTCACGTTCTTAATATTCGTTGTGAAGAGAGTGTTCACGTTTACGCGCGGTATGATTTCTAATTCGGCCGGAAAGACCGACGCGTTAGACCGCTGAGTCGTTATACCCGTCTCGATGGGACTTTGACAAGGGAACGCGCGCTCGATGCTCTTCTCTCGTTCGCTTTGCATCGTACAGCTGGAAATGCCGCTTTCGGAGACAAAGTCGCTTTTAAACGCTTGCTCCGCATACGACGGGAAATGTGAATATGAAGTTCCGCTGTTTCTTTCTGCGATTTCGCCGGTAATTGCTGCTTTCCCGCTATAATAGATATCGGAACGGGAGGGAGGGAGGGAGGGAGGGAGGGAGGGAGGGAGGGAGGGAGAGAGCGAGCGAGCGAGCGAGCGAGAGATACAGCGGAAGAGATTGCACGCGATATCGCGTACGAACAGGTGTGTACCATTCCGGGCCATCGTCTCGCGAGCGCAGCCCGGGAAAAAGATAAGGGAAGTCGCAATCTCGCCCGCGTCATATAACCGTTTTAGCGTCCATTTCCCTCGAACGGGAACGTTTTCCCGTGATCGAGGACGCAGCATGCCGATGCATCCATAAAGCGCAGGGACGACGGGACGGGCGGCGGGCGCAGCGTCTCTCCCCTGGTTTACCCCCCCCCTCCCGTAAATTTTACGAGCCGATACATTTAGTCATATCGATACCCTCGGCGCGATAAAACTCGCGTTAGGCAAAGTGGTTACAGCGGGGTTCCGGCGGCCTCGCTCGTACCGCCGACCAATTAAGGCTATTCTCGTGGAGGGTTCCGGTGGGGAAAAGAAGGGGGTTAAAAGGCGATTTGTCTTGTTTTTCCGGAGCCAACAGCCACTTTCCCCCCACAGCTCCCGCAGACCGTCTTCTCGCCCCATTTCGCTCTTTCGCGTTCCCCCTTTCTGCCGTCGTCGTCGCCACGCTTCTGCCCCCACAACCACTGCAAATTTGTAAGCCACGGCGGCGGCGAGCCACGACCGAGCACATCCGTCTTCATCATCGTATTGTCTTACCGTCCCTCTCGCCTCTTGTTTTCACGCCCCCGCTTACGGGGGCCTGGCCGTGAGATGGTTATTTAATAGATTGAGAAATGGCAGGAATGTCGCCCGCCCGAAACGACGGTGAGATCGTAAAATTTGCGAGTACCCGGCGAATATAAAAGTCACCGCCGATGGCGACCGTAATTGCCGTTATCACGAGAAGCGTCTGATTAGCGGGTATACTCAGCGCACCTCGTATCGTATCTCTCGCGCTCTCGTATCAACGCGGAGCATGTAAAAAAATTTCCGCGCACATACAAGGCTCGGATTCATATACAAGAGTATTCTGCACGAGCACTTTCGCACATCGTAAAAAGTAATAAGACATGTGTATTTTATATGGTACGCTCACACGCGCGCGCGCGCGCGAAGTGGTTTATTCAGACATGTAAAAACGCACGAGGCGAAACGTTTAAAGAACCAAGGGAAGAAGTGCTGAGATGTAAACACCTCGGCGCGAGAATAACTCTTTTTCCAGAATTCAGCCGCATCTCGGTTGCTGGTCCATTTGCCGAATTCTACCCGTTCGCGCAGCAGCGCTATCCTGGCTATGCATTTGCCGTGAGAGCCGTTCTGAATTCCATTGGCCTGGTTTGTCAAGATTTTCATCCCATTGGCAAGCCCCGAAATTTGTCACGGTGACACTTTGCGCATCGAGGATGCACGGCGGGCACAAATGCGACGGCGCGCGATCGGCGGCGCGGCTCTTCGCGGCTTGATAATCACTTTATAAAAGTGTTCCTCCGGCTTCCCCCCCCCCCTCTCTCTCTCTCTCTCTCTCTCTCTCTGTCTGTCTGTCTGTCTATCTGTCTGTCTCGCTCTCTCAGCCCTCACCCTTTCTCTCTCCGTCCTCCACGGACTTCAAAGCTCTTGAATATTTCCACGAGTGAAAGCACGACGATAAAACACAAGAGAACATCGAGCGGCACTCGTCTGAGGACTGCACACGCCTCCTGTAAATATCGACCACACCGCGCATCGGTGGAAATTGCTGCCGCGAGTTGGTAAAAACAACGTCGTTAACGATCGCGCGCGTAATGCGCGCCGCGCGTGCAACTTTATAGCAGCCGCGCGCACATACACACACACATACATCTTTCTTTCTGTCTCTCCCCCCGCCCTCTCTCTCTCTCTCTCTCTCTCTCTCTCTCTCTCTCTCTCTCTCTCTCTCTCTCTCTCTCTCACTCATTCTCTTCTCTGTCGTACGCGCGCGCTCCCGCGTGTTTCTATAGGCGACTCGGAATTCCATTGGCCTCATTCTCCCGCGCCGGGAACTTTGAGAACTTCCTTCATCCCCCGTGAAGCATCCTTCTGAGAGCTTTCGCGTTCGTGACGTAACATATATCATCGTTGGCGCGGATAATTAAAATGTATTCTGTTGATCGCGCGCGCTCGCGACCGCACGGTCTCGGTGAAAAACAAGCGTCGTTCGCGAGAGCGTACGTATGCGCGAGCAAAATAACGTGGAAAAAGGAGCCCCCGGGTTTATACATACGCATGAAGTGCGGAGCGAGGTGATGCGTAAATGCGCGGGAGAATCGAACGCCACCGGACGTAATGCACACGCCCGGTTTGATTGGTATCGCGTAAAACCCTTCTCATACGGCGCGCGCTCGAATTTAGTTACGGCGAGCGAGCGCGGAAGATTGCGAGGAAATACGTTTCTCCTTTTGCATCTTCCTCTCTTTGTTTCGCCCTCCTGTTTTTTTTTCTCTCTTCTTTTACGGGCAACAAGTTCTCATTCCCGAGCTTCGTGCGTTTATCAAGATCGTAGATTCAAATTTATTCGCGTAGCGGCGTCGCGCCGACTGCAACTTGCACGATGCAACCGGGTGCAATATATTCAGGCATCGGACTGAGCTTAGTATATCGTTGCCCTGCTTTCCGCGGGATCCTCGTCCGCGCGCGAGATACGTGATACTTCTTGCGACGCGATGCCCGTCGTCGAGGTCTTTCTCGGCGGGCGCATTTGCCACCATTTGCCGGTTGGCAGTGTTACCTGAGATCGAAACTCTCTCTCGAACACACACACACAGAGTCTTCCACCCCCCCCTCTCTTTCTCTCTCTCTCGCTCTCGCTCCAGCAAAAAGCTATTCCGCAAAGGCCTCGAGTTTCATTGTATTATATCTGTCGACACACATATAGACGCGCAGACACGCGAGGACAACAAATACCGCAACAAATCTGCAACAAATGTTTAATTGCTCAAACGTCTGTCAATAGATTTGTAGCGCCGAAACGTTCGTTTGCGTGTATAAATTTACACGTTGTTTGCGCGACACCTAAGCTCTGTTTATCTTGCCAACGAGCAATCTCGAATTCGAGCGCGTGTATCGATCTGGAATATCGCGTCCGTTAAAATTAAAATGCAAGAGGGGATTGAAGGCATGCGCGACCGCGTCGATGTTGGCCGAATCACGTGTCTCCATCCTGTCGTAAGGGAGGCACGGACGCTAAAGTAAACGTTTCTCTCTCTCTCTCTCTCTCTCTCTCTCTCTCTCTCTCTCTCGCGCGCGCGCGCGCACGCACGCGAGCACCAAAGTGCGTGAAGTCTTGCGCGACGTAGCACGAGTCGACATTTTGCTTTCTCATTAGCTCCGCAAATTTCACTGATCCTCAAGAGTTCGATGGGATTTGCGGGAATACACGAACATCTGTCGACGTAGATGTTGGCTATGGATGGAACTTTACATCTGTCGATGCAGAAGCGAGGCTTCGTCCAATCGGCGGCTTCCGTCGTGAAATTCGACGTCGCTAATTCCTCGACAAGTCTCCCCTCGCACACGCTCGATCCTGGTTCGCGATTCGAGGCAACGTGGCGAGGAGAAGAAGACTCCGGTAATCCCGACGAATGACGATAGATCGGATTGCGGGAAATGCCGCGGAATCACGCGAAACGATGAGCCCGGTCTTTTGTGCGACGGAGAATCGATCTTCCGTTATAATACGTCGAGATATTCGTTTCTCCGCGAGCGAGACGGGCAAAGCCGCAAGTTTTGAAATTCTTCGGGCGTGAATGCGCGGCGCGCGGCTACGATCACGGCCGCGGACGACGTCGTTGGATATCGATAAAGATATAATGCACCCTGTTGAGCGTAGACCTCTCCCCCCCCCCTCCTCTCACCCGTAGATTCGCAGACAGAAGTCGCGCGGAGGCGAAAGGCAAATACGAGACTGCCCGCACTCTCGACCGAGAAACGTACCTTTGCCCATCTGTCATGGCTCTTCACCGACGAGCAGCGCGAGAGAGAGAGAGAGAGAGAGAGAGAGAAAGAGAAAGAGAGAGAGAGAGAGAGAGAGAGAGAGAGAGAGAGAGAGAGAGATGTTATCGAGAATCGATGGAGATGTTGCAGCATTCTGTTTCCCGCCCACCCTCCCTGCCACCCCCAATCCGTCCGCCACCCTGTCCCCTGTACGATAGCGAGTTGGATACACCGGACCCTGTCGTTCCGTCCGAGCTATCGGCTATTTTTGACACTTCCGCCGATGACAGCCAGGCGACCGATATCACCGGTGAATCGCCGTCGCGCGGATTCTGGACACAATAATGCAATAGATACCAGCTGCTACTACTACTACTACTACTGCTGCTGCTGCTACTATTGCTACTGCTGCTACCACGAAGTTAACATCGGTCGTGTTAGATTCGTCGGTCATGATGATCGATACTTGGCCGTTTTGGCGTTTCTCCAATCCCCCCGATATGAGAAGAAAGGGGAAAATACGTGAAACACGACAGAAATGATATTATTGATCCACAGGTGGAGCCGTTATTATGGTGCCGCCGACGAATCAAACGAAGCTGGAGGGCGAGAAGGTGCAGTTCTCTTGCGAGGCGAAGGCCCTCCCGGGTAACGTGACGGTGCGCTGGTTTCGCGAGGGTGCCCCCGTCACGGAGGTCTCGGCCCTGGACACCAGGGTGTCCATCAAGATGGACGGTAGCCTGGTCATCAACCCCGTCAGCGCCGATGATTCCGGTCAATACATGTGCGAAGTCACCAACGGCATCGGCGATCCTCAAAGTGCCAGCGCTTACCTCAACGTCGAATGTAAGATGTGTTTGAGGGGAGGAGATCGTTTCTAGAGCGATTGCAAATGCTTGCAATTCGAATCTCCCAAAGGGTCCGCCGAGTGTTAAAAAGAGAGACCAGGGGCGGCGAGATGTTGCTTTTTTCTTTGTTTCAATGGACTTTTGTTTTAATATTTTGTCTTTGACGTCTTTCTTCTGTTCTCTTGTTGTAATGGAGCCCAAGCGACACGCGCGAGTTCGCCTCGAGTCCGACGGAATTAACGTTTGCCGACATGTGCGACGTCTCGCGGTGTTTCAGACCCGGCGAAGGTAACGTTCACCCCCAGCATCCAGTACCTGCCATTCCGTCTGGCCGGTGTGGTCCAGTGTTACATAAAGGCCAATCCACCCCTGCAATACGTGACCTGGACCAAGGACAAGCGCCTACTCGAGCCTTATCAGACAAAGGACATCGTTATCATGAACAACGGATCCCTGCTCTTTACACGGGTCAATGAGAATCACCAAGGCAGATATACCTGCACGCCTTATAACGCCCAGGGCACGCAGGGCAGTTCGGGTCCGATGGAGGTCCTCGTGCGAAATCCGCCTGTCTTCACCCTCGAGCCAGATTCAATGTATACGCGGAAGGTGGGCGAGACGGTCGAGATGCACTGCGACGCGCAGGAGGCCGAGGGAACGCAGAAACCGACGATACAGTGGCATCGGGTAAAGTTGCCGGCGTGATATTCCGCTTCAAGTTCACTCCCAACGGAGCTCTTTCTCACTCTGTCACGTCATCCCGTCTTTTGATTTTTAAACGTGTATCTCTCGTTTCTCCCTAGCTGCCGCTTATAATCACGCAAAGAAATGTGCCGGCATCTATTATTATTCCGTCGTTCCCCAAGGCGGTGAATCCTTTCCCGACCCTTCACAGTGCACAGTTTTATGTTCCCCGACAAGTTACTTGTTCATCATGATTATTTTTCTTGAGTGTATGTAAATCACAAATCCATTTGAACGAAGTACATTTGCCAAGTCTCCCGGACTTTCGAGCTGCACTTTCCAAATAGTATCTTGCGCGAGTCGGCGTTTTGTAAAACGTTCCCGAAACTACCCAGAGAGAGGGACCCATCCAACGTAACCGCGCCAAGATCATCGGCGGCAATTTGACCATAGAGGGCCTTCGACGCACGGACTTTGGACTGTATCACTGCGTCGCCTCCAACGAAGTCGCCACCATCTCGGCCTCGACGCAGCTGATCGTCGAGGGCACGCAACCCCATGCACCTTACAACGTGACAGGCACTGCCACGCAATTCTCGGTAACGCTAAACTGGTTACCAGGCTATTCCGGCGGTCCTGATTACAAGCAAGATTATACTATCTGGTGGGTAAACGGGATAGGTTGTTGGCTATTATCACTTGAGGCTCCGTCCATCCATCGATACGAAGGATAATCGCCTCGGCTGAATGAGGAATGAGATCGAGCTTTTCCGCGTCCCGTCGAGATATTACAACAATTCCACCCGCAAAACTCTCGCCCGATGCTTATGCGAGAGCGCGGGCCTACAATGTCGTTCTCCCTCTTTGTTCTCGCCAAATTCGCGCGGTCGAGTCGCAAATTCGATCGTATCAAATGGATGTCGATTAGAGGAACTTGGGGACTTGAAGTCCGAACTCCGTCGGATTCTTTTACACGGCCACGCTTTGTTTCTCGTGTTTCTCGCCGGCTAGGCACAGGGAATCAGGGACTTCGGAATGGAAGACAATCCCCGTGACTCCGTCGGGCAGCACAACGGTGACGATCAACAGACTCTCGCCTAGCACGCTCTACGATTTCCAGGTAATCGGGAAGAACGCTCTGGGCGAGGGATTGCTGAGCAAGGTCATCACAATCAGGACTCTCGGTAATGCAAACTATACGTTATATACCCGAATGAATCCTCTTTCTTTTCTTTTTTTCGCGGTCGTTAAAATGCTCCTGATAAATTCACGCGTGAGCGGTAAAAGAGGAAACTAATGAACAGCTGTTTTATAGCAAACACCGCTGATTAACCTCGTGTGTGTGTGTGTGTGTGTGTGTGTGTGTGTGTGTGTGTGTGTGTGTGTGTGTGTGTGTGCGCGCGCGCGACTCGCTGTAACTACTAATCCCGTGTACCTACGTTTGGAAACTTGCTACTTGAATCTAATCTGTGTATCTCTATCGCGATATCACGAATCCGACGAATCGCGGCTGGCGAATCGCTCTGTCCACCGACTAACAAATTAATCTTTACTCTCTGTGCAAACCTTTCACTATCCATCTCTATCGCCACTATCCACCTCGCTGCGCTCTGCAAGACGTTGTCCTGACTTATTCGGCGACTCCCCCTTCGACAGCTGATAAAGCCGCAGCTACGGATCAAAGTGGTAAGAATCAAATGAAAATCAATTAGCGCTCTTCGCGCGTCGCGAAGCCGTCATCAAAATAACGCGATTAAATGCCCGACGGGAGAGAAACGCGTTTGGCAACCGTGAATTTAGACGCGCCAGCCAGGCACATGGTAGCAGGTTGCTCTCGAGGTCGTTAAAATCAACGTTGCTCAATCGCTACTTTAGAAATCCGCAAACCAACGAGACGCTGCATCGGCTCTGAATACCGCCAGTATATCCGCGCGAGTCGCGCGACTCAAACTCGGCGAGCTGAGAATGGCGTTTCGATGACTGTCGAAGGGAAACTCATGCGTGGGAATATCGCTCTCTCGTTTCCTCCGCGCGACCGTCTGCGCGATTCTCTCATCGGGGTATCGATCCGTGAGTCGAAAAGTCGCACGACTTCCTTCTCGGTTCAAAACCGCAGAGGAGGAAGCGGCACAGCGACAGCGGCGGCAGCGGCGGCGGCGGCGGCGGCAGAAAGAGTGAGAAGGAGGCAACAAAATAAGGAAAACGGAGAATGCGGATGCGGAATGAGGCAAGGAGAGCGGTGAAAACCCAGAAAAATAGATGGAGAAGGAACGGAGACTTCCGTGGCGACTTATCGTATCGGAAAACCCATCGAGCCGTTCATTCTGCTTCCGCTTTTATTTCCTTCCCTCGAATCCACCGGTTCATTGCCTTCCATTTGTACACACTGTACCTCGAGCATCCCCGATACCGACGTCTAGGGATTTCTATCTGGTTACTCTTCAAGCGTTTCTCCCATGTCTCTCTCTCTCTCTCTCTCTCTCTCTCTCTCTCTCTCTTCCTTTTTATCTCTTTCTCTCTTCTTCTCTGTTGTCCCTCCATTTTGCTTCTTTCTCCCTTTTCTCTTTCTCTCTTTTTTTCCTTTTTTCTTCCCCCTTCCCTCCCCCCCCTCTCTCTCTCTCTCTCTCGCTATACTGCTTTTTAGCTTCTTACGCTTTTTAGCTTCACGCACACACCCGCATCGTCATTGATTTCGCTCGTTAGCTCGTGTCGACAAAGGGCCGGCTTCAACAATGCCGGTTAACCGCGGTTAACTAAATTTTCTTTCTCTCTCCATACCTCTGCACGAGAACGTACCAGCGCTCGAGCGCAACGTTTTACAGCGGAGAATCCTTTGAGGAGATAACTTTCGAAAGTCAATTCATTTGTCAAGTCATTCTTCCGACGCGAATATTTTATTAAACGTCGCTACGTATATTTTCCGCAAGTTTCGGCCAAGAGAATCTCGTGTCGCTGTCTGGTCTGCGTGAGATTTCAGAAAGATCAACCGCGGGATAAAACTTTGTTTATCAGCAGTGCTTAATTTCTCAAAATCCGTCGACTCCGCTTCGGTACGTTCGCGCGCTCGGGAATCGATCGGTCTCTAATTTTGAGCAATCCTGTATCACGCGAGCCGTGCTAGAAAGAGATCTGGAGAAAGAGGTATCTAGGCTGCGGTTAGAGTTAATTGACATTGATGAAGCCGACCCCAACATGATAAGTGCGGCTTAACGGTGCTTTCGCCTGAGTTTCAGTCGTGAGAAGATCCACAGCACGGCGCTCACGCTTTGTAGACTTGTAATGTAGACACGAGAAGTTTTCGAGTTATCTGTTATCTATATGTGTGTGTGTGTGTGTGTGTGTGTGTGTGTGTGTGCATACGCGCGTGTATGTGAAAGAGAGACAACCAATTCCGCTTAATCTCGCTTCGACTCGATCTTGATTTGTCATTGATTTTTCTTTCACTTCATTTGTTTCTGCCATTTTTCGTTTCAGACATCGTTGATTATAGCACCCTCATATTACCGACCGATTCCACAGGAAATCCCGTATTTCCAACCATCATACGACCGAAAGGTACACATTTCTGTTTTCTTTTTACCTTCAGATTTATGTTACACGCCAACGATACGAACGTGATTCTTCAACGTGTGCCACACCGACGACGAGACGTTACGAAACGATAACCGCTGCATTCCACGGACGCTCGAAAGCGTCGTTCATCGTCACTTTCATATCGCCCACGCGTCTCTCTCTCTCTCTCTCTCTCTCTCGGCTGCATGCATTTAGCGCGTAATGTTCCGCGACGTATTAACATTCGGTACACGGCGCACCGTGACATCGTGCGATCTCTTGCGCGTCTATCTTATCGTACGTCTCATTACGAATTTTTCGCGTCGCAAGAAAGAACGAGAAAGAGAGAAAGAGAGAGAGGGAGAGAGAGAGAGAGAGAGAGAGAGGGAGAGAGCTCAAAAAGCCGCTTACATCTTCTATAGTCTCTCTTCCTCCCTCTCCACCTCCCTCTCCCTCTCTCTCTCTCTCTCTCTCTCTCTCTCTCTTGCTCGCTCGCGTTTTGCGCGCCACAAGATTAATCGCCATTACGTGCTATAGCGGACACGAAAACGAGTGTCGTGGGATCTGACAGGACAATGAAAACGAATACGCGCTCGCGTGAGCGCGGAATTCGGTATACAACGATGCGAGAGCGATACGGAAGAAAATAAAAGCGAAATCCTCTTAGCCGACGTACCGGAGCTGAGGGAGCTAGGCGGCGGGCATTCCGGGAGGGAAAGCAGGAAATAACGTCATATATTTTGCACGTAGCAGACGGTTCCGAACAATCTGCTCCCGGCTTCGAGCGCGGGGAGGAGCCGAATGCGGACCGAGGAAGTTGCAGTTGCGCCGATTTTTCTTCACGACCCGCTCGACTCTCGATCATACTTGAATCGTCACACAGGGTGCCGGGGGGAGGAGAGGAAGGGCTAAAATAAAAATCCGCGCGGCGGTAGAAGCGCGCCACGCGTCGCAATGATTTCGGCCGCGAGGTCCGTCACACATTGATCGCCCGTATTTCCCCGCGGGTTTTAATATCGATCCGTGGCGCATTGCCGGTATTTTTATAAATATAATCGCCCCCGCTCTCTCTCTCTCTCTCTCTCTCTCTCTCTCTCTCTCTCTCTCTCTCTCTCTCTCTCTCTCTCTCTCTCTGTCCGCCCGACTATTCCGGCGCGTATTCCTCCGCAAGAATAACGCGGGCGGTTACACGCAAAAAATAATGATGAAATCCTCTTTATCCGCTGGCGGAGGCGAGAAAAAGCGCCCGGCAATGGGCGACCCGCGACACGGGACGGGACGGGACGGGACGGGAGGGATGGAGGATAACTTCATATATTTTATCAAGCAAATACTCGAAACAATGCAGAACGTTAATATCGCAATTCCACGGCCAAATCAAGTCACCTATTCGCTCGTCCACCTGCCTGCTCGCCCGCATACGCGATTCTCACACATACGCCGCAGTACGGACGACTGTCGTACCAGAATGAGAGATAGAGAGATGAGAGAGAGAGAGAGAGAGAGAGAATCTCGCTAAACTGTTTAAAAATTGTGACGACAAATTTTACTTCGCATATCCGAGTAGCGACAATGAATCTTTGAATGACGGTCGCTTTGTTTCTCCTTCGTCGGACTCGCCGGAATTGCGAGCCCGAATTGCAATTCTGTGCGCACACATTTCCCGCGAGAATCCCCCGTGTTCCCTTTGATCCCGAAAGCGATCGTGCCGGCCTGTCGGTGCGCTGGCTCGATTTGAGGGCGCCTCGTAAGAATTGCCTCGTTCGGTACAAGTCGCCACCGTGATGGCGAAATCCCGCAGACCTCAGCACACTCCGACGGTGGTGTTTTTGACATTACCATCGTGCAAAAAAGCAGCTGCCCGCACACTCTGTCTGATCGTGATCGAAGGAATCGACCGGCCGCTGGCCGGTTTGTGTGTAATCAACAAAGCAAACAATCGTGAAATAGTTTTTACGCTCGTCCGATCGCGACTCGCAACAACGAGGCAATTTCCGTCGATTTCGTAAATTCCGCCGAGATATTTCCCGGAACAGCGGCCATTAAATTGATAGCAGGGCGGAACGGCACGGGGGAACGGCAGATATTTGCTTTGTCGGAATAAACCTGCGCAGCGTAGATTGGGCGAATCAGAATATGACGGAAAGCAAAATACGGGAGCCCGAATCAAACGCTAGGTTCGCACCTAGCCATGCGAACTAACAGCTTGTTCACGCAGCCGTTTCTTTGCTTGTTTTTCTTGTATTTTTACTTTCCATTCGTTTTTTTTTCTTTTTTTTTTTCGTCGTCTTCCCCTTCTCTCCAGGAATTCGCATTTCGATGCGTGACACGTCGCATCGTCACCGAGAAGAAATAATATAACGGCTCGGGCGTTAAATGCAAAGTAAGGTTAATATGCGCGTACGCCGGAAGCAATTAGGTCGTAACACATTGTGTGTGTGTGTGTGTGTGTGTAAGAAATGACGAAAGAAGCTGACCTCATGTCTAGGCAATCCAGTTAAGGACTCGCACTAATGGTCGTTTCGCTCCCACCTATCGCACTTTTAGCCGGCGAGAAGCAGCGCGCGCGATATAATAATAAAAATCCCCGCACGATATAATAATAAAAATGAGTTCTCTGCCGCCGTCGCCTCTCACTTGTGTCAAACGATAAATGATGCCCGTCGCTTCGCGCGAACATATCGATCATGATTTGTTTATCTCGACGCATCGTTGCACCGCGCCGCCGCGCCGGAGCACACGTAAATAAAAGGAGGAAGCGAAAACGAGAAGGAAAACAATGGAGAGGAGGGCCGAGTTTATGCAGGCCGATATGCAAGCGCGAATATTTAAAATAATTCCCACCCGAAAACATAGAATTATGATCCATCGCGTTTCGCAACGCGTTGCGAACGGCAGCAGCGGCCGGGGTTTGCAAACACGAATGCAACCGACGCGAAAGAATTTTTTTCACAAGCGACACATCGCAGTCGTCGCAGATATACGCGATGATGAAAAAAGTCAGACGTACAACTCGATGACGCGATATAAGCGATGAGTTTGATAGATGCGAAAATGTCGCCGCGGTCGGAATGGCGTTAACGTTTTCATCAAAAAAGCTTTCCGCTGGCGTTGCAACTCCCGCCGCGTCACCGGAATTATTTCGGAGTTACGACAGCGATATTTATTCGCCAACGCCAAAGAGATTTCTCCTACGGTCGGTTTTTATTTTATTTTATTTTTCCTTTTTTTCGCTTCACGTGCGCGACACATCGCGCGGTCTCCCCTTCTCACTCTCTCTCTCTCTCTCTCTCTCTCTCTCTCTCTCTCTCTCTCTCTCTCTCTCTCTCTCTCTCTCTCTCTCTCTCTCTCTCTCTTGCACTTTGAGAGGGAAAATTTTATCATTACCTGTGCGTATGATAAAATATATACATGGTACACGTAATAAAATGACGTCGCAGCGCGCGCTTTATCGTCAGGGAGTCCACTCGTCAATATCGCGCCGCAGTGTAAAGCGAATGAGTCAATGCGAAACCGCGCGAAAAGCGTCGCGAGCGGGACGAAAAGCAGAGGAAGCCGGCGCCTTCCGCGCGTACTTATCGCCGACGATCGCCACTGATCAGCTCGATTTACCACCGCCAGGACCAAAGCCAGGTACTCCCCGGAACCTCACGGTGACGGAGATCAGCAACGGTTTCCTGATAACCTGGCAACCTCCTTTGGAACGTAGTCATCTCATCCAATACTACACTATCAAGTACAAGACGGACGGACCTTGGAAAACGCTCAACAAGGGCCAAATACGACCCGAGGAGACCAGTTATTTAGGTGAGAGCGACATTTAGGTGAGAGCACCTTTCCCTCCCAATCCCGCGTCACCCTGACGCGTTCCCTCTTTAACCGCACCGCGTAATTATCTTGCGTAAGAGTTCTCTCCACTAGTCGTTACTAGCGTCGGGGGGATTGTGGTATCCGCACATCATCATCACTACCACCACCATCGAGATTCCTCACTTTCACACACACACACACACACACACACACACACACACACACACACACACACACACACATATATATATATATACAGACACATGTACACCTACACAGAACCATGCTACTTATCGATCCGATTGTTTCTTCGAACTTGAGCGACAGCGATTTCATGCGATTTCCCGTTTAACGTGAACGCCCGCAGTGAAGAACCTGGTCGGTGGTAGGACCTACTATTTCCAAGTGTTCGCCAACTCGGCTACGAATTACGGCGCGAGCGACCAGGTGAAGTTCCCCGTGCCGGCTCGCGTTAAGCACAAAGCGATCACCGCGGGCGTCGTAGGCGGTATCCTCTTCTTCCTGGTCGCCATCATCCTCAGCATATGCGCGGTGAAGATCTGCAATAAGCGGAAGAGACGAAAACAGGAGAAAGGTATGGACGCCCCGTGGCGTTATCGTCGTATCGTACACCGTTTTGCCCGCATCTCGCCTGCACCTGTGCTCCTGGTTGTGTCGTCTCTACGTTGACCCGCGTAAGAAAGGCAGCTGCGCCGCGGCGAGGACAACGAACACGTGCGCGCGATCGCACCGGTTTTACGATCCTTCGCAGCAGAATCGCAAATAATTGCGAATCAGCAAAGACAGATCGGCCGGTCGTTCCGCGCCGGCTGCAGTCCCTCTGTGTGTCTTGATTGGTCCGTGCTGGGCCCGCTTATTTCATCGGATTTTAACACGTTGCGGAGGCTCCTCTCTCTGCAGCATCGCCGGCCTCGTGTGATTTGCGTTTAGCGCCCAGGACTGATCAAAGAGACGACTACGATCTGGTAACGCAGGCGCTGGGCATGCACCTGTGAACCTGAACACATTCGTGGTTAACATAGTTATGTAACATTGTAGAACTGCTTTCAGCGTATAACATGGTGGCCTGCCGGGTCACCGACGCCAGGAACGGCGCAGGGCAGGGGCCCCAGGGAACAGTGCCTTTGAAAAAGTGAGTGTCTATATCCCGAAACACCATTATCCCCTCAGGTCCCACAGAGTCTTGACTCACGATACTTTGGAGCACCCCCGTTGAGGCGCCCAAAGGCTCCGATCAGATGACAAAAGTAGACGGTGGAGGTCGCAGCAGCACCGCACAAACCCGATCAAAATTCCGCATTCGCGAGGATCGAGCTGATTTTCCAAAAAGCACTCCGCATTCCGTGGCTCCGTCAGCCACGGAAGATGTCGGAAGGAAATTCTTTCTCTCACCCGTGAGCAGCCAATCGGTCGATTAAATTACGAGACGAGATTATTCGCGCGTAATTCGTAATCGATATTGTGCTCGTTGATAAATTCATGGCGCTCTAATGAGTTCCCGCAGAGTCAGCGTAGACGGCTTAGATCGGCGAGACGGCGCCAGAGCGACCTAACGGAGCACCTCGACTACCCTCGCCGATGAAGGGAGTCTCTTTAACGATAGATTCAGATGTCAGAACTCATATATGTCGGGACGCGGGCGTCGAAGATCGCCGGTGAATTGTACGCGTCTTCGAGACGCGTCGCGGTGCAGATGCGACTTCGGAAGAAACATATATCACTTAGGCTTAGCCAGAGTTAGCGATTAAGTCCACTCCACCCCCTCTTACGAGCAATAGGCGACCGAAGCACCGCAAGCATTTACGAAACCTCTCACGAGTAATTCTAGCCAACAGATATTCGAACATCTGTCTGATATATTACGCCTGTCTGATACATATATATATATATATATATATATATACACACACATCTACATCCAGGATGTTAAAAGAAAGAGGTGTTTAGGATATTCGACGGCCCGTGGAGAGAAGGGGTACTCTCTCACTGAACTCTGAATGGAAAGAGAACAAGAAGCGGAGAAAAATTGTCATTCGCTACGAAAAGACCACGAAGTTCGCCGACCTATGTCGCGATTAAGCATTATTATTTTCTCTTTTCTTTTTCTTCTATTCGGTTTAGTATTACGAGCCTTCCAGCTGTTTCGACGGCTCTTTTCCAACATCTCGCATATTGCCCCGGGTACATCGGGATTTACATGTACTCCGTCTCGCTCTCACGTCAACGACTCTCGCAACTGCGATTCTCTGATCCGCATCTCCAACGGTAACGGTTCTCTTTGCGAGATCACACGAGCGTCTCGCAAAGATGACGATGTCGTCCGATTATTTTGCAAACTTACAATCGCGGGAGTAACGATAACGTGCCGCGTTGTGGTAGCGGCGACACGCTCACAAAGAGAGATATATATATATATATATGTATATATACATATACGAACCGCAAGACCGAAGAGAGACGTACGGAGAGAAACCCATTCTCTCCCGCCGTCAGCTCAATTCACTTTGACAAAGAACAAGCACTATCCCCTTGAAATGAGGGGGGCATTAAGGAAACGAGGAACGATAGACCTCTTTTGATCTACTTGCCGCCATACATAACACTACGAGCTTCTAGATGTATCTCGTAGCAATTAAACCGGCAGACTAAACCGCAGCAGCAGAGGTATTTTGGACGAGGTTGGAGAACGATCTTTCGATAATCGATAAGTAACTTACGCACACTCCCACGCGCTGCGCGTGCGTGCATGCGTGCACGTTTCCGTTAGGCATGAACGACCAAAAGAAAAGAATCGAGTCGCTGTTCTCTGTGCGATCCGGCCGCCGAATCGAATCGTGGTCGGGTCCCGTCGCGGTGCGAGTCAAATGGCGCGCGGTTCGCAATGAGCAGCCGCGATTCTCGTTTCTCGAGCGACGTGCAAGTGCGCCCGGGAAGACGGAGGACATCGACGGTTCTTCGCGAGTCCACCTCAGGATCGGACGATGGCTCAGCCGGGGTTCGCTCGTGCACGATACGGAATATCATTATATTTCGCCGCGGTAATTTTCGCGAAAGATCCCCCCCCCCAGGTCGACGGAGGGAAAAGCACCGGCAGAGAGCAGATTCTACGCGCGAATCGAACGCGCCACTTGATCCCACACGCACAACGGACAGTCCTCTTCGATTCGCGACTCGCGACTCAGAACGGCGTATGCATATACAGAACGGAGGAAACCGCCGCGAAAAAAAAGAAAGAAAAGAAAAGAAGAAACAGTAACGAGACACGCAAAAGCGTGCCTCCGTCATTCCGTCGCGAGCGCGCGCGCCTTCTCGTACGCTCCGTGTGCGTACGAGAGCGAACGAAAAAAGAAAGAAAGAAAGAAAAAAAAAGAAAAAAGAGAGAAAGAAAAAAAGAAGAACGCACCCACGCCGTAATTAACGCGCGTGCGCGCGCGAGAGGCGCTCAGAAACTTGTTCGCGATCACGCCTAAGCGGACTGCACGTGTAATAGCGGGTACTCAGTTGTGACCATTATGATTTTCCATCGTGGCATCCAAAAGTCCACAATACGACTGCAGTGATGCCTATTCTGGATCGTATCTCGCTCTTTGATTTCCCGCGACTTTGTACGTCTCATCGTCGCTACCCGTTTCGTTTTCTTTTCCTCTCTCATTCTCTCTTCTCCCCCCCTCTCTCTCTCACACTCTGTCACTCTCTCTTACTCTCTCTCTCTCTCTCTCTCTCTCTCTCTCTCTCTCTCTCTCTCTCTCTCTCTCTCTCTCTCTCTCTCTCTCTCTCTCTCTCTCATTCTCTCTCTTTCATTCTCTCTCTCTCTCGTGTTTGTTTTCTTCTTTGCCTTCGTTCCGACGTTTCGACCCCGAATTTCCCGCGACAATTATCGAAACGATTCAGTCTCGATCCAGTCATTTTCATCGTCATCGTTTGATTAGCCGCACCGTTCAGTTTTTCCCTTATTTGTTTCTCTCGAGTGCGAACGTTGCCGTCGGTACTTGTTGTCGTACCGTACGAAATTGTACTTCCTGTATGTGAATTGTCGTAGCGCTTATCGTGAGGGTGCTAATCGAAGATCCAATTTCCGTCGGCCAACCCATCCTTCTCGCGAGCCCTGCCGCCGTCCCTTCGTGAATCCTGTCCTTCTTACACGCACAGGCAACGCGTCATGGTCATACATCTGTCACGCATCTCGATGATCCCGCCAATCAAACGCACGGCGCGATCGAGTTCTCTCTCGATCTAATACAGCTTTTCCCGTAGGTTTGAAGCCGATCGCGAGGCCGTTTCAAAAACCGCGTATGAACCGCATATATGTGTAATTATATAAGTCGAAACTCTAATTTCGCAGCTGTATTGTCAGCTCTACACTGCGCTCTACATCGTCCGAATTGTAATCAAGCATGCGCCTCTGTAACTGATGTGTACGAGTACTGATCGTTGACCTGTTTTTCTTTTTGGTGGAATTAGCAGCAAACTATATTGTTTCACTGTATAGACTATATATATGGGTGCACCATAAATATATTCAACGAATAGCTGTGAATATATTTATATCACCGGTATAGTCTTCTTCTCTGCCCCCCCCCTCTCTCTCTCTCTCTCTCTCTCTCTCTCTGTTTCCCTCCTTCTCGCTTAATATTGCCTTGCGTGTAAAACAGCTCTATCATCATCAACAATTATCCTCGAGTGGCTCTGCTTCACGTCACCGTCACAACTTCTGTCATTCCACCCTCATGATAAGCTCAAACATTCGCCGCAATTTTTCATTGAGCGCGCGAGCGCGTTTCTCGAGAATTACCCCGAGAGAGATCGATATTGCACGTTTATACCTACACGTATATATCCAGAACGGGCTGGACGGTTCAGCCACTGCCAAGAGTCTTTTGCCAAGGCCCGCATTCGTGGTCACGTGTCTGGGCTGTGTAAAAGGCCGAGTAAAAGCAACGATTGCAATTTCCTAATGTTCCGACAGCACGTCGGACGCGAAATACTACACTAATTTCCCCGGGATAATGAAGAGCGCGCGCCTTGGTACACCACGTAGGAAAAAAAAAAGAATCTAAATCAAGTTAAAGCGCATTAAGGAGCGACCTGATGTAATCTTTCCTCATTACTTGTGGATACGTATTGCTTTCGCGTGTTCTTCTTCTTCAGCGCGATGATTGCAGTCGTGCGCTTATCGGCGTAGCTCGCTATTTGGATATCTCGGAGACGTCGACCACGAATACAGACCTGAAATAATCTCGGTGTTACCGAGGTCGCGATCAGAGCAAGGATCAGAAGAGAGCCGACACGAGTTTGAGAGTAGCGCCAAGGGTCGAGAGACTCCGGAGAGGAAGGGCGTAGGGAGCTACTTCGCGGAACCGTTGCCTATCAAAGGGTAGTAAAGAATGGAATCTGAGAGAAAAGGAACAACGCATAGTAGAGTCAATCGATCGTCGCACCGTCAAAGAAGGGATTTCCCCGCTACCCTTTTCCCTCTTTTTCTCTCTCTCTTTCTCTCACTCTTTCTTTCTCTCTCACTCTTTCTCTCTCTCTCTCTCTCTCTCTCTCTCTCTCTCTTTCTCTCTCTCTCTCTCTCTAACTAACTCTCTCACTCTCTGCCACTCTTTCTTTTTACTTCTCTCGCTTTGTGTCTCCGGCCCTAAGATGATTTTCGCGCACAGTGATCGCGAGGACACAGGCAAGAAAAGCCAAACCGGTCGAAAAATAGTCGTTGCAACCAAGAGAAACAAAAGTAATAGCAAAAAGAAAGAAAAGAAAACGAAACTCTGAAAGACAAGACGATAAGTAAAATCGTGGGCGTCTCTTGTCCTCCTCTCTCTCTGTGTTTTCTGTAGGTCGACAAATCTAAACGCGTGCGGCGAGTCAGTCTCGACGCTGACCCGTTGCAGCCCGTTGAATCCGCAACTACCACCACCACCACCACAACCTCTTCATCAATCACCACTTCCTACGCAAGTAACCACCCCCGCCACTGCCACCTCGGAGCCGGTCCACGAGCAGGCCCCCCCGAACCGTGATCGTGACCATCACGCACTCCACCTCGATAATCGAGATTACGAGAGCGTGTTTATCATAGAGAGGCGGAACAGTAAGCCTAACCTCCGCTAGCCACACAGAAAAAAACCAAGTACT